TACACCACATGCACATGTATACAGCAAGCTCCATGGATTAAGAGAGTTAGACATGCTCACATTCATGTGAGCTCAGGCAGCACCAGTGGCCTCATTTGGTTTCTCGTCTCTGGCCCAGGGGAGTTGTGTTCCTCCCACCCACTCACCCATCCAGAAAGCTGACCACAATTTCCCTGGGCTGCAGTAGTAACCCCACCCAGGGTCTCATTCTTGTAGAAACCCTCCTGTCTTCCTCTCCACATCTCCTGCTCACTACCTCATCTGTCCAGATGTTTGCCAGCACTTACTCACACACCCGTGCTGGCTCCCGGTGCTATACTGCAGGCAGACTCTGGCCCTGGTCCCACTTGGGGCTGGCACAGGATTTCACTTGCTGGGGTCTCCCTGGTCACTGGCCTCCAGGTATTAATTATTTCAGATCAAATAATTTTCAACAATTTCTCATTAATTCTTTTGAACTGAACTATTTTTGCCTGGGTCTTACAAAATCTTAATGAGTAAATGTACACTATTCGCATTTCATGTTGCTCTAGGACTGGCTTTGGTGTGTTTAAATATCTGAAGTACTGAAGCTCTGTGGCACCAGTTCTCCCTGCACTTGAAGGTGGTGGTGGGCACAGCAAGCAGATTTCAGTGCATGGCAGTTGTCCACTGTGCTTCAGGTGTGCCAGTAAAGGTGGTGGATTGCAGTTGGGAATAAATTTTCAGTGATACCTAAATTAAAAGGATCTCAGTATTTTCTGATTTGATTAATTCCTTGGAAAGTGCTTCATAATGGTGGTGTGAGGTTTACTTAATAATTGATTTTTAAAGGATAATTGAAGTAGCTACATGCTGTTTAAAACAGTCCTTGGAGAATAGTGCCTTTGCTTCCCTGGCCATTTAACTTTTCCCTTCTTGATTGAAGTTACTTTTGGAAATAATAATTTTATTGGGTAGTAAGACAGTCAGAAGATGACTTCTGGATATATTAATGGGAAAGAACTGATGAAGGGCTGGTGCAGCTCATGGTCAGCTGATGGCAAGGGCTGTGGGGCCTGCAGCCTCGGAGCGGGTAGGAAGTGCTGGGAGATTAAGTGGAGCTCAATGGAGGTGAAAACATGTAGGGAGCATATGGAAACATAAGAGAAAGGAAAAAACTGTGATTGAAATATGATGTGCAAGCTGCCTGTTCCTGTCTTACTGCTCTGTAATAGTCTCCTCTCTCAACTGATGGCAGCAACAATTTAAATCTGTAGTTTTCTCTTGTAGTTCAAGAGGAAATCTTTTATATTCTATGTATATATATAACACATCTTCGTGCTATCATTCATATTGATGAAACTGTTGCTGTCGAGTGCTTTGCCTCTCAAAGTCATTGAAGTTGTGGCTAACACTTAATGCAGTAACAAAGTTCCTGCAATTTGCATGTACGTGAGTAAGACAAGTCATAATTGCAGGCATGAGGTGCTCCAGGGACGTGAGAGGTGTGCATCTGAATTTGCTGTGCAGGAGGGAGGATTTAAAATCTGTGAAGGCTCTAGCCAAGTGCTCAGTCAATGACTGTACATCTTGTGAAAAATGGAAATATTTATTTTGTTATTTGACACAAGGGCCAGAGCTAAAGTGAATTATAAGGGTAGACCTTTTTGGGGTGTATTCAGTCATCTTCAGTCTACATTCAGCTCAGCAGAACTACTTAACCTCTGCTGATATTCTTTTAATATTTTCCTCTTGATATGTTCAGTTTCTTTACTTTGTTGATGCTTTCTTCTGCTAAGACACCCATAAGAAACAAAATAGTCTTACTGGTGTCATCTTACTGGTCTGTGGTGTCTCTGCAGTCAGAAACTGCATTTTCTTGAGGGATATTGGTCAACTCCTATCTAATTTGCTGCCATCTGTCACCCATAAATCTCCTCATTCCTGCTCTCTAAGTATATCCTCGAAATGAATCTCTCTTAAGTGATTTGACGATGAATTTACTCTTCGGCAGAGGTGTAATATTTGGCAGTTCTGAAGGTTTTAGACTTACATGTATCGAAAAAATAGGTATTATACAGATAGCAGCTGGCCTTTATTTCCTGCATTCTGCTCTGTTAACATGCTTATGTCTTAACCAGGCAGGGACAGACCTAGAAGGATGTGTGTTTTCTGGGTCTGTATAGCTCCTAAAGTCTCTTTGAATAGTATTTAGTTCAGAAGCAAAATTCTCTTTGCAGTTGTCAGTGTGCAGCAACGAGATTGCTGGGAGTTAACAGTATATTAAATTTCTTCTAGGACTTTTATTGGGGTTTTTACTGAATACTAAGTAAATAAGTATATATTTATATATATGCATATAAAATCAAGAGCAAACTTAAATAGCATTTCACAGTAATAATTTTTCTTAATGATTCTCCTTTGCCTCATGTTTCTTGGGTACAAAGTGAACAGTGTATGAATGGTTTTAGAACTGGAGGAGTATATATATATATACAGGAGAGCAAAAGCAAACTGGAGAAAGAAAGGTCTCTGGGTGGTAAGAAATGCTTAAGTTAAAGAGGGGTAATACGTTGTCTGCCTTCTTTACCATTCATTTTTGTTTATTTTCCAAAATAATAATGCACAATAATCTGTAACTACCATAAGGAGTACAAAACGCCTTAAGTAATAAAACTGGGAGCAAGCACTGGCAGTTGCAGAAAATTCTACAAGTAGGTAGGAAGTGTCTCTGCGAAGAAATCACTGGCCATGGCCATGTAGGGGCTTGGAGGGTTCACTTACTACCCCAGCAATATTCAGTTTTACCTTAAGCCAGCTGTAGGGTTCCCTAAGAGACTAGGGAGGTAATTTGTTTGTCTCCCTGGAAGTCAGAAATGTAGTTAACATACTGCATCTACATATGCAGTTACACATGGTGTACTACATTCCTTATAATCGAGAATTACAAATTTCTGCTTCTGAAAGGTGATTCTGTCTTTGACAGATTTTAGATGAATTGTTAATTTGCACTCCTCTTTCAAAGCAACCCTTTCACACCAGGGTGGTAGGAAGGCTGCTGTGCAGCATGGCTTGAAACAGATACTTGACTTACATAAACCAGTTTCTCGATGTTGGAAACAAGAAGTAGCTGGTTAGAGTAACAGGGTGGTAGGCTGTCACTATATTTTTTTTTCTGTTTTCAGAACATTATTTCTGTAGTAATTAAATTATTTTAAATTGCTTGTGACACTTGTATGACATTTCCCCCTGTGGTTGAAGGAAGAGGAATACAATGCATCTGCAAGAATGCTGATAAATTATAGTGAACACTACATAGGTGAAATGTTCATGTTAAGCTCATGGTGTAATAGATTCCTTCTTAACAAATGTTTAAAAATAACAATGTCTTATTAAAGCAACAGGAATCAAATGGCAGATACAGTAGAGAAGACTTTTTACTTTAAAGGCCTCCTGAATCTCCACAGCTTTTTTCTCTCTTCATTAGAGTTTTTGTTATATTTGATATTTAGTTAAAAATTATTCCCTATTAGTTCCTCAGTTTTAGCAGCAAATCCCTTTTATTAAATCCATTCTATTAAGATTTAGAAACCTCCCACAAGAATTTGACGGCACTTCTCTGAAGGATTCAGTCTTAGAAACCCACTGCTGGGAAGTTAAAATAAAATTGCAGTCTGAAATATTTTTCTGGTTTAGGTGTAACAGTAAAATGCTGGGATTATGTTCTTAAGTGCTTAAAATGCGTATAATAATCCAAGCAGTACAGTGCACAGAATGTCCTTAAACTTTTCTCTGTTCAAATATTTCATTAACGCTTCTCTCCAGCTCTGAGTCAGTACAACTGTTATGTGGGGGATTAACAAAATCAAGTAGGAAACTAACAAGAGTGTGCACTGTAAATCAAGGTTTCTTGCTGAGGACTTCCTGTTAATGAGATATCATACCCTCACAAAGTCTGTAGGATGTACAAACCAGACACAAATACCTGCTGACTAAAACCCTCAGTGATATTTTTAAAGAATCCTAAAAAAAATTAGAAAAAATATTAACACTTTCCTGATCACAATACATATGGCATTAAAAATGTTATACCACAGAAAGTTTGCTGTGTCATCAAAGTATAAAAATCTCGATCTTAGTTGCAACACAATGCTTAATAAATGTGTTTACATTTTGCTCCTCATGTTGAAAGTAGGTTTCAGAACAGCAGAAACTCTTAATACTTTAGTGTTTATATAGAAACTTTATAAATGGCATTTGCCAAAAAGCTCTGAACACTTTCTGCCACTAAAACTGTCAATCTGTTGAATTTATGGCAGCAAAACTAATGCTGAAATTTCACATTTAGGTGAATAAGTCATACACTGTTAATACTACAGAACCTCAGATAATGATTCACTGCATAAACAGATGGTAGGTGTCTCAGAAAATCCAGCTATGAGGGTTGTGAATTCGGAGAGACTAATAGTATAAATGCAATTTTATATGGTGTTTTTAATCTAGAAAAAATATAAAATTAAGTTTACATATAGGTATACTCCTGTAAGAATATATAATGGGGGAGAAAAAAAAAACCAAATGTACATTTTTCTTTCTTCTTTTTCAGGTCAGAACTGTGGAGGCTTAGTACAGGGACCAAATGGTACTATAGAAAGCCCTGGATTTCCTCATGGTTATCCAAATTATGCCAACTGCACGTGGATCATTATCACAGGAGAGCGTAATAGGATACAATTGTCATTTCATACTTTTGCCCTCGAGGAAGATTTTGATATTTTGTCAATTTATGATGGACAACCACAGCAAGGCAATTTAAAAGTGAGGTAAGGTACTTTTTTCTTTCTTAATTTCTTTCTGTCTCTCTCTCTCTCTTTACTTTTCTTTGTCTCTCACACATATATGTTCTGATGATATGTTAGAATTACACTGTATTTCCTTAGTTCATCCCCAGCCGTGGGGATAGCAGTGCCCCAAGATCTCACAGCAAAAAAAATTAATCCAAGTGTCAGATCTTTATGACCCTAACTTGTGTATCAGTAACATCAGTACTTAAAATTTGCACAGTTCAAGGTCAGTTTTTGTAAAGGCCCTAAGCACAGGAGTATTCCACACTGCAGTAAATTGCTTTTATTTTTCTATCTACTGGTGGAATCCAGATTTGGCCCAGGGACCCCTTCTTGAAGGCAACACATTTTGAAAGAACTCTTACTTAGATCATGCTTTACTTTTCTACCATGCCTACAACATTTGAATCAGAGGATGGGTGTGCTGTTTGTTCTAACAGCGTCCCATGGTCTCTCACCAAATGTGGCACAGAAGTGGTGAGTGATACAGTAGTTTGTGAGAGGCACAATATCATCAGTTGCATGTTAGGTTGCCTCTGGAAATGCTTGCTGGATGAAATCCTTCAGGTGACTGTTGTCTGCCTGGCAGATGAGTTCAGCTGTAAATTGCTTGACATTGCCAAAATTGAAATTATTCTCCATTAAGCAATTAGGGATCTTTAAAGGTCAGAAACTGTCCAAATACCACTGAGGTTATAATGAGGCTTTATGAGAGCTTTGTGATCTTGAAGCTTTTCGATCTTGAAGCTTTTCACAACTTCAGGTTTTGATGCATTAATTTCATTGATGTCTTGTGAGTTCCTCAGTCATTTGCTGGATTTCTACTGCAGAGCTGGAAAGCAAACATTGCTCTCAGTGCTGCTCTGTCATTTTCTGTTCAGCCATGAGATTTAGGGAGTACTGTAAAACACTGCTGTCAGTTCTGTTGTCTGATTACCCTTTTACATGATGCTGATTTATACTATAGTGTTAAAACAAATGTGGGAACATCACCAACTTGTTCCGCATTTTAGTGGGTAATAACGTGTATTTTTGACAACAAAAATGTTCTGATTCATTGTTGACTCAGTTCAAAAAGTTTTGAAAACTGTGGAAGGTAGGATGCAGCTACCAGTGCTTTCATTGCATGGTGTGTGGGCTTCATTTACTGCACTTAACTGATCTCTAGTATCCCCTGTATAAAAGGATAAATATTTCTTTTTTAGTCAAATGGTTAAAAATGCAATATCTAACATGCCTACTTATTTTGTACTATTCTTGGTAGAAAAGTGCCAACAGGTGTCTGTGGGTATGAGAATGGAAAACAGAAATTCCTAAGTATGATCTTGATCCCGGTGAAGTAATTGTAGTTGCTATTGATTCCTGTAAAACAAAGGTTTTGCTTTCAACTTCCAGCATCAAAGCAGATGTTTTATTTCTCCTTGCTTGTATTTGCCAATCACTTACCTTCATAAATGGCATTATAAGGAAAGAAACACTTGTTGGGTTTTCAGGATGCAGAGGTTAACGTAGCAGAATTTGAATGACAGGTTGTTATTGACGTCTCATATCATGTGGCATACTCCTTGTTGTACAAAGCACATTCACAGGTGTACCCCTCTGCAGTTGCACATTTCAAGACAATTCCCTCAGCAGATATTGGAAAATTATAGTCCTTTTTTTTTTTTAGCTGACAGCATGCAGATGCAAGAGAGCATCCTGGAACTTCTGCTTGAGGGCACACACTTTTATTTTTTTTCCCCATAGATAAAAAAACTCCATTAGATTTTGGGTAATTGTGTTTCTCAAGCCATCATGCAAAAATCTAGAGATTTTCCTTTAAAATAGCTGTATAACTATATCACTGTCACGAACTATAATAATTAAGTAATATTCATCCTATATTTTGTATTGTATATTTTCAACTGCTAAAGCAAAAATGAATAAAAATGAATAGTATGTTCAACTAGTTTATTGTGCTGCCTGAGGGACCTTTCAGTATGCTAAATGGCCACCAGTATACTTTCACTGCATATTGATTGTAAAGCCTAATAAAATAGAAACACATATTAAATACATTGAAATGATAAGGGAAAGGAATAAATTGTTTTAGGCTGTTTTTGTGGAGAAAGAAAAGCAAAACAGGTAGTGGTAAGATGAATATGAACTTCTGTTAACACATTATTATGCTTTAGCATATAGTGATTTAAGGAATAAATTACACATACTAGTAATCACAGCCTATTGTAAGCTATGTTATAAGGAGGTTGAGAAGTAACATCATAGCAGGAAGAACAATGTAAACAAAAGATAAGGTACTAAAAAGTGCCATTTTGCATCCTCCTTTTTTTCCAAGATAAAATCTAACTAGCATTCAGTAATTCTGTGTAATTACTGAGACCTGTGGCCCAAAATTGTCCTTAAAAAGATTGCTACAGTTGCTTTATTTTTATAATTGTAAAGTTCATAGAACACAATACAGGAGTGGATATTTCTTATATATTCTTTTATGTGTATATATTTATATTTATGTATATACTCACACGTATATTTCAGCTGGGAAAACAGTCCAGGAGTGCAGTACAGGCTGTGATCTATTCAGTGGTGCAGCAGCTCTGTGGAAAGGGATATCGGTGTCCTGGTGTACAACAAGCTCAAAGTGAGCAAGCAGTGTGCCACTCCAGCAGTGAAAGCCAACAGGATGCAGGGCTGCATCAACAAGGGCATCACCAGCAGGGATAAATAAGTCATTGTCACGCTCTGCACAGGGCTCGTCAGGCCACACCTGGAGCACGGTGTTCAGTTTTGGTCCCACTATAGAAAAGAAATGTGGACAGGCTGGAGAGGGTCCCGAGAAGGACCACAAAGTTGACTGATGACTGGGAAGCTGCTGTATGAGGAAAGGCTGAGAGAACTGGGTTTGTTTAGCCTTGAGAAGGGGAGATCTTAAAACCATGTTTCAGTATTTAAAGGGTAGTTACAATAGAGTTGGAGATTCCCTTTCTACATGAAAAAAAGAGAGTTATAGGGTACAAGTAATTCCTGGGCAAATTCTGATCAGACACAAGAGACAAATTTTTGACAATGAGAAAAATCAGCCGTTGGAATAATCTCCCCGTGGAGATGTCCCCAACATTGGACACTTAAGATTAAGCTGGACAGGGTGCTGGGCCATCTTTTCTAGACTGTGCTTCTGCCATGAAAGGCTGGACCAGATGGTCCTTGAGGTTTCTTCCCATTTGTTTTTCTATGACTATGATTCTGTAATACATAAAAGAGGAAAACTGAAATTTTAAGTGTAGTGACACCTGTTATGATAATGCTTTGTTGGGTACTGAAGTCTTAATTCTTTAGACAAACATGAAGCTAGATAATTGATTTCACCATATATTACCCCTTACCTTAAAGCCAAAATATTGCATTATTAGTTGATGGAGAAAGATTTCAAAATACAATCACATTCCACTTAAGCTAAGAAAATATGTAAAATATATTTTTGATTTCCATTTTACATTCTGAAGATATTGTCATTCATTATATGCAATTAATCATCAGCATGCAGAACTCGTGGATGAAACTTGTGGAGAAGAGATGCAATAGTGGTGCAGTGAGAGAACAGTTATTATTCAGTTGTATTCCTTGTCAATTGTTTTCCTAAATAAGAGTTGTATGCAGGAATTCACTGAATATCTGCTACCACATCTAATTCAGGTGCAAGCTAATATTTATTTTGACTTTGTTTCTTTGCCATATATATCAGATAAAATAGTACAAGGTAACATTTTTAATAGAAAGGAGGAATGTGTCAACAGGACAGAGGGGCACAGGCCAGCTCTGAAGATGCTCGGTGTAGGGGCAATATTGACCTGTTGACTGGCATACTGCTGATAGATACATTTTATGCCATAGGCAAGTGAGTTCAAAACAGACATCTCAAGATTTCAAAAGTGGTTTCAGGGTTGGCTGTAATACATACCTTTTTTCCACATCTGAAAAGAGAAAATTACGCATTAATTTTAGCATAAGTCTTGTTGCAGTGTATTTCTCCTATACGCAGAATTCCCAAATGGTGGTTTCATAGAGAGGTATAGGGAAACTGTAACAGGACTGGTTAAACAGAAGATCTTGTACCAAAACATCTGTTGCTGAAGAGATGAAATGGGGTGTAAATGGGGTCTTAGGACTTAAAACTGCGAATGTTACAAACTTAGTGAACTGAGATTTTGTATGTGGGATTGCCTTCATCTCAGGCTATGACCTGAGATTCCACATTTTTTCTATGTCAAATACAGGTAAATGCTGTAATCTCTGTGTTACAGTGTCTGCCAGTAAAAGTTGTTTTTTTTAGTATCTCTCACTCAGTTTACCTAAGAGTTAGTTGCAGAAGACCTGTGCAATATACTCTGGAATAAACTTTTTCAACTAATCAATCTTTCAGACAGTCCTGAAAAACTTTTAAAAATGGATTCTTAGCAGTTTTTTTTTTTCTTACACGGAAGTAGTGCTAACAAAATTATATACACTAATGGGAAGACACAAGTGTGCAGATGCAAATATTTTTTGCTGTGTGTATGTGCATCTGTCAGGTTTTTTGGACATACATAATAAATTTTTTTTTTTTGGAAAAAGATTTTAAAATGTCTATTTGCCTTCATGGCTTCTTGGGTGTTTTAAACTTAATTTAGTTTACTGCGATCTAGGTAATAATATAATACATGCTGCTCGTTATTACTCATATTAGGTAAAACAAACAGTTTTGGTTTAACAGAGCAGTAATGCAAATTATGAAAGTTGCTAATGGAACATGTAACAAAATAAAGCTTACCAAAATTTTCTGCAAGAATATATAAAATATATGTTTAATACCAACACATTCCCTCTGCTTTCTTAAATTTTGTAGCAATAATTGGAACTAAGTAGGAATTATTCACAATATTCACTTTTCTCTGTCTCCATCAAGCAATAAACTACATGTATGTTCTTCAAAATCCAAGCATGGA